AAGCCCGTTAATCCTCTCCGGGCCGGGGGTGCGGCGGACCGGGGCCGGACAGCCCGGGCCGCCTGCCCTCCGCCGGATCCGCCTCCCTCCCCGCCCGGGCTCTTGTGGGAAGAGGCGAACTTGGGCTGAGGCTCTCTGCAGTGTTTGGGCTGCTCTTAGCAGAACTGTGAACAGAGCTGCTTTCTCCCTTGGAGAAAGGCAGGTTTCCCGAAAGGACTTGTGTAGAGTACCGCAGTAGTTTAATTTATTTAAATTGCGAAGTAGAAGTCGTTGTTGCTAAGTAAACCCGGGGCAGATCGAGGTTGAGGACCCTTAGAAATGTTAAACGAGAGGAGAGGAGCAGACCGGTGAAGACCGGTAGATAGAGGCTGAGTGTGAATTCAGAGCTCGTAATTAATTACATGCTTAATCCGGTTCCCAGGGGCCTAATGAAGAGGGCGTGAGTCCGAGAAGCCAGCCTGTTTTGTTTATTTTTTTCCTTAATCCAATAAAAAGGACAGGACATATTTTTTTGGAGGGTCACTCGCTTCATTTACGTCTCCTCTGTATAAGCCGGGAGCCGTGAAGACAGGAGGTGGAGGTTGTGTGAGTGTCTGACCCCTGACTCCTGCCCTGTGCCGAGTTTTTCCGTGGAGTCGGAGAGCTTCTTGCTATGAAGCACTGCGAGTAACTTTGGTCCCAGGAGTCTCGAAAAGCCTAATTCTTTAGTAAAGAACCAGCTTTCTTTACTTCACATCAATTTGAAGTGTGCCCTGGGCAGCCCTGGAGTTTTTGGGCCACTTTGAGCGGGACCTTATTTTCCCCTTTCTCTCCACCCCAGCTTCTGTAGGGTGAGGGCTCTGTGGGGCGTCTGGGTTTGGGTACTGCTAACCGAGGTGTCTCTCTCCTTCCCCCTCTCCTCCGGCTGCTCCTCGGCACAGGGCGGCTGAGCCCCCCAGCCTGCACCCTGCGCAAGCACAAGACGAACAGGAAGCCCCGGACGCCCTTCACCACGGCCCAGCTGCTGGCCCTCGAGAGGAAGTTCCGGCAGAAGCAGTACCTGTCCATCGCCGAGCGCGCCGAGTTCTCCAGCTCGCTCAGCCTCACAGACCCAGGTGTGAAGATCTGGTTCCAGAACCGCCGCGCCAAGGCCAC